CAAGTATGATCACGATCATCCTGTTGTTCGTCAATTGCCTCGAGCAGGCACCAGTAATGTCTCCTTCGTCCTAGCCCTGAGATTTTAAAAAGTGCCATATTCAAGGCTCTTTCAGGGCTAGGAGAATGAGACCCATCATTGTTATTGGTATTTGGTATATTGGGTACGCCACGGGGAGTCTGCCAGACTCTGCTGTGTGGGCAGGTTACATTCGGTAGCCTGCCAGGTTGTCCACAAGTAAGAATGAGATAATAAGATGTCGTGCAGCTGCGAATGTGGCCACGCGCTTCTGGGAGCTGGGTTTTGTACTCTCTGGGTCTTGGCCGTTGATGGGATTACACAGCGCCAGGGGGTCAGTTGGTTGGGTGGGTGTGACCACTGCCTACTGGAAGATGGAGGATCTGGGTGGAGGATCCTCAGCCCTGATCCAAGCAGGCTTGGAGATCTCAGTCCCAGGACCCGCATGCCTGTGTTCCTCTGCCGGTACCTTCATGCGTGTGGAGAGTGGTCTCAGCATGGTGGTGGCTGGTTCTGGAGGTCTTCGGCTGCTGGAGCTCTGCTCGGGGTGGGGAGGGAAACTCAACCCACCCCCCTCGAAGGGGTCCCGGCAAGGGCAGCCAGGTGCAGGGGCAGGAGATGGCGCTGTTCTCTTCCGGGAGCTTGGTTTTGTAGTCTCGGGGTCTTGGCTCCAAGTACACCTTGCTATTTCTCCCTCTATACGCGCCTGTTTTCTTTTCAATTAATTAAAGAACTTGGTCTCCTGGTCCTCACTGGCAGGGGCTCCCAGGCTCCTTTTCGGTTCTCAGGCAGTTTTCAGAGGAAAAGGCAGTTTCTTAATAGCTTTTAGGAGGTCTTTGATTTTCCAGGGGATCCAAAGGGTTTTCTCAGCTGACCTGGTTCAGAGGTAAACAGGGCCAGGCTCGGTGCCTGAGGGTGCTCAGTCTTTTTTAATGATCCTGTTTACTAAGGCAGGAGGTAATTTTCTTACAGTTCTGCTCAAAGATAAGTGTGCAGCAGAGCCTTATTGTTTTGCATTTTGCCCAAGGCCTCTCCTGCCTTCATTGTGAGTCCTCAAAAAGCCAGAGAGCCTGTTCAAGATTCACTTCACTAATTCATAGTCAATTAGGAGGCTTTGTTTTGAACTTGACCTGGAGGTGGTTGTTGGCTATAAATTTAGAGCCTCCCGCTTCATCAGCCCCTCTCCACTCCAGAGAATTAAACAGCCTCCTTCAATTGGTAGCAGAAATTTGAAACGAACCCAATTTGGGTATAGCTGGCCTCAATAGAATGTATACTGTGCTTTATTAAGAGAACAAACTTTTGCTTTTTCTTTATTATGTAGCTTTGAGCTAAGCCCCCAAATGTTCTCTTCTCATTTAACTCTTCCTTATTTTAATCTGCTCTTGGAAGCTGATCTAGAGAGGATTTATCAACCAGAGCTACCTATGGCCTGTCAGTGCAAAGATATTCTAAGGGAGCCATAGGTGAAAATCACATAAATGGGGGCCCTGGCATGGGTGGCAACAGGTAAGACTGGGCTGGCCACTGGAAGGAGGCAAGTAAGTAGGGTCTTATGATTAGAAAAGGCTGTGAAACACTGGTCTCGAATGTATACAAGGGGAAAACATTTTTCTTTGATGATGGTTAAGTGGCTTTCCCTCCAAGTTTGGAGTTGGTCCACTTTATCATGTGAGGCAGAATCCACTTTAAGACCAAAACTCAGCAGGCCTAAGTTTCAGTTTCCCCTATCAGAAAGTCCTGACTTCTCAGACAACAATAGCATCCAGCTCTAGCTAGGGTCCAAGTCTCGTCCAAACATGATGGAGTCTTGACAAGGACCCCTACTCCAAATCACAAGCAGTTTATATAGGGTTCAGCGTTAAGAGCAGCTTATATACTGGTCTATTTTTAGCATTGGCCTTATTACAATGGTGGTCAGCAATTAGGCATTGGTTAGCAGCAGTTTCTAAGGAGGGTGCAGTGACCCTTCATGACGGGCCAGACCCAACTACCCAATTCCTTATCTTGGCAAATGACTCAGCTGGGAGTTTACCAGAAACTGCAAGTCCTGCTTTGGGGAAACAGAAACTGAGGTCTAGTTGGGACTTACTGTTAGCTGCAGCCTGTCATGGCTGCTAAGAGGCATGCTTTTTGGGGCCTCACAGTATCTGGTTTGGTCAATGTGCGAGCGAAACTTCCTTCCCAGAACATCACTGTATCACTGTCCTCCCATTGTTCATCGATTTGCTCGAGCGGGCCCAGTAACGTCTCCATCATGAGACTTGTTGTTACTGTGTTTGGCATATCAATGCGTCAGAGTTAGCTTGCTAGGTTTTGCCGTGTGGGCGAAATACTCTCGGTAGCTTGCCAGGCTCTCCGAGAGGGGCAGAGGAATAGAACCTGGCTCGTCAGGGCCGGCTGTGCGCAAGGCAAACGCCCTACCACTGTGCTATCGCTCCAGCCCTCCCAGAACATAAGAATCATAAATTGTAAGTATGAGGGGGTGATTCTGTTCATTAACTGACTGCAACGTGGCTTTTTAAACTTCTCTTGGTAAAAACAGGAGCTCCACCACTGATTTTCATCCCTGACCCTTAGGAGTTTTTTTCAGGTAAGAATCTCTCAGGAGATGGGTACTCAATCATCGTATGACTGAAATGCAAGCACAAAAGTTTGTAAGTCTGTAACTGTATCTCATGGTGATTCACTAATAAAAAATTAAATAAAAAAAAGAAAAGAATCCCTCAGGATGTCACAGGTCACCGAGAAAATGCTTTTGACTTCTAGACAAATGTAAATTAGCTTGGTTGTGAGTTAGATAAAAAACAAATCTTTTATGCACAGCAAAAGTTTGAACATTAAAGGGAAAAGAACTCTCTCAGGCTGTGAAGTAAGAAGTTTGCTTATTTGGATTTTTCTTTCTGTTTTTGGCCTTCACCTGATGGTGCTCAGGGATTACTCTTTATTCAGTGCTCAGAGAGTTACCCCTGCTGATGCTCAGGAGGTTATGTGGTATCAGGGATTTAACATGAGTCTTCTGCATGAAAAGCATGTACTGCATCTTACTGACTCCCTTATTTGCTTCTTTTTAAAATTTTCTTCTAATGTAGGAAAAGTTAATAACTGCCTCTCTTAGGAAACTTTTTCTGTTACGTGAACCATAGCTTTAAGCTGATTTTCCAAGTGTGATTTTAATTTTTCTAGTCTCAAACTGAACTGCATGTTTAAACGAGTAAACAGGGACAAAGGAAATCTATGATTTCCTTGCTTTTATTCTTTTACCTGGTTCAACGTTGAGAGAGTAGCTGTCTATTTCCAAATCTAGTTGTTGGGATCCAAGAAAATGAAGACCTCGTGTCTTGTGCTGGCGCTAGCGTCGAGTGAACAGAGACAGCTCAGGACAGGATAGTAAGTTTATTAGAGGCTCAGCGTTGAGGACCCCCAAGTCAGAAGAGAAAGAGACCTGGAGCCCCATTTGCTGAGAGGGTCTCTCTTTTATCCTCTAAAGGTGGGCAACCGTGTATGTACATTTTTAGTGAAATAGGAGATAGAGGTAATTGACAAAAAACAATTAATGCATCTTTCCCGCAGAGTATGGGCTTCAGGCGCTCAAAGGGGAAACAGTTGGGGTCAGTCTATCTTGCCCACTTGGTGTGCTCTTCAGGTGTCGTTTCTCGTGTGCTCCCATAAATCTGTCCAGTACTGTATGGGCCCAGTATACTCCCAGAAATCCGGTGGGCTCTTAACTCCATTTAATTGGGGTCATAGAAGGAATGCTTCTCTCTCTCTCTCTTTTTTTTTTTTTTTGCTTTTTGGGTCACACCTGGAGATGCACAGGGGTTACTCCTGGTTCATATACTCAAGTACTACTCCTGGCAGTGCTTGGGGGACCATGTGGGATGCTGAGAATTGAACTCAGGTCAGCCGCGTGCAAGGCGAACGCCCTACCTGCTGTGCTATCGCTCCAGCCCCAGGAATGCTTCTCTCTCTTTTTTTTTAATTTAAAAAATTTTTTTTATTAAAAAATTTTTTAATAGTGAGGCATCGTGAGGTACAGTTGCAGACTTACACATTTTTGTGCTTGGGTTTCAATTATACAATGATCAAATACTATCCCTCCACCAGTGCCCATTTCCCACCATCACGGATCCCAGTATCCCTCCCACCTCCCATCCCCCCATCCCACCCTGTCTCTGTGGCAGGGCATTCCCCTCTGTTCTCTCTCTCCTTTTGGGTGTTGTGGTTTGCAAAAGAAACATTGAGTGGCAATCATGTTTGGTCTATAGTCTACTTTCAGCATGCTTCTTCCATCCTGGGAGGATCCTTTATTTGGTGTTCCCCTCTTTATCTGAGCTCCCTTTTCCCCTAGTATGTGTGGTTGGCCTCCAAGTCATGGAGTAAAATTCCTGGTACTAATCTTGGCCAGGGAATGCTTCTCTTAATATGAGACTAACACTAAGGACAGTAGAGATAAAGGCCAGGAAGATATCACACCATGGTTTGGAAGTTGGCCCCACGTGCTGGGGGAGAAGGCAGTTAGGATGGAGAGGGGACCACTAAATTAAACAATGATTGGAGGGATTGCCCAGGTTGGGAGATATGTGCTGAAAGTCAACCAAGGACCCAACCTCTTAGTACATGTATTGCAAATCACAATGCCCAGAATTGGAGAGAGAGTTAGGAAGACGGTACCTGCCACAGAGGCAGGGAGTGGGGTAGGGTAGGGATGACGGGTGGTACCCTCGGCACAATGGTGGTGAAAAGAGGGCACTGATGGAGAGATGGGTGCTTAAGCATTGTTCGAACAAAAAGCAATCATACAAGTATCTCACGGCGATCCAATAAAACTTGTTTAATTAAAAAATAAATAAAAGGAATGCTTCTCTCTCTCTTCTCTTGTTTAATTTAGGGGTCAGTTTCAGTTTTGCAGTCCCTATCACATTTTCTTAATTTTTGTTACCGTTTCCTAATTCTCATTACATACAGTTTCTTATCTGTCGCTACACACGCACAGCCTGGGTGAGGTTATATGGCACCAACTTATCAAATCTCATTTTGCTGTTCACGATCACACTCCAATTTCTGAAGCCCAGTATTTCAAGTTGCTTCAATCCTATACGATTGGATTGTCGATAAGGACTCACTGCAAAAATAAACCGTGTTTACTCGTAACTGTGTTCTATAGCTGTTAATTCTATTTATTCTCACTTTTCATTAATTGAAGCATACGTTTCAGTTCCTTTTTAATGATTTTTGTTCTTTTGTCTGGAGTTGGCATGAAATCAGACTCTACCAATTTAAAGATTTATTTACAGTGATTATGTCTCACAGTTCCACCTTTCTATGTATGTATTGAGATGGATGGGCAGTGAAAATGGATGAGAATTTCTTCATGATAATTTGTGAGGATTTTTAAAATCTCATATAAAAACTACCAACAAAACAAATGCCAACTTGCTATTTAAAAAAGAAATACAAGTAACTAAAAACATATTCCAAGGTATTTCAGCAGACTAACTTGTGTAAATAGAATATCTATGTGGAACCAATCAATTTGTAATGAACAAATGAAATAAGAAACAGGTTAAATGTCAGTTTGTCTGTGTTTGTATGCACATTATGTTTCATAGATAAAGCAATGCATTGCCATGGAAATAGCAGGAATTATAATCAGGAGACTTGGGCGTTAGTCCAGGAACTGGAATTTTCCCTGACCAGCTCTGTGATCATCACACAACCACTTAGTTGCTCTGTTGCCTTCCCAGAGTCCTGACCTGACTTGAGAGGGAAAAGAAGAAATGGTTTCCCAAGAACCCTTTCCAAAGTGTCGTTTAATCACTTCAAAAGCAGACCCCAGGCCAAGGGGCTTCAGGTTCCACATCTGTTATTGGTGAACCAGGGTTAGTCTTGAGTTCATTTTTCCATAAATCTTTGCCTTATTCCTGGCCCTAAGAGTGAACCCCTCAGTTAGGCCCGAATCATAAGCCCAGAGCACACACAGAGGCAAATCCTCATCTGAGACTTGAACCAAGGCTGCTTTTCCTTTGTCCCTGCCCTCAGTCACCAGAATTTTGTTTCTAACTGCATCCTTTCCTCTCACTCTGGTATATGGTCCTCTCCAGGCTGTTATGAAAATAGAAATTTTATATAAATGTGGACATTCTCTTTCAAATTATTCTTTATTGATTTTCCTTGCTTATGTTGGGCTTATTCTTTGCATCTTGACCTTCATGGTTTTGTCCTCTGAAATCTCCTGTCTTCATCCTGTGTGCAAACAACTAGTTGTTGTCTCACAAATTCTTTTTCCTCTTCGTCCCAGGATAGAGGCTGCCTCGTTCAAGCCCTCAGCTGGGCTAGAGGCCTTCCTTGCAGCTGTGCTGCCAATTCCCACCAATAGAATGTGAGTGGAAGAGATATTTCGACTTTTGTTCACTCACTTAGGAAATTGCTTGTTCTGGAGTTTCTCTCTTTCTCATGAAGGAAAACAGATATTTCAGTGACTGAAATTTGTATGGAAGAAGAAGCACCCTTGGTTTGGCAGTTACAATGCAGAAAGAATGTGGGTTTCTAGTTGAAACAGTAGGGCGGAACTGTCCAATTTACCAAATGAAAGAGAAATAAGTGTATTGTAGCTGAGTTACTCTAGTTGATCTCCTCATTATGAAAGCACGATACACATCCTACTGAAAAAAAAACCATGACCTAGGTGCATGGGTGCATGGGGACTCTGTTTTTCTTAACAGCTGTATAGTATTCCATTGTATAGATGTACTATAGTTTCTTTATCCGGTCATCTGTTCTTGGGCACTCAGGTTATTTCTAGATTCTGGCTATTGTGAATACTGCTGCAACACACAGAAGAGCAGATAATGTTTCTGCTGTGTGTTTTTGGGCCCCCAGAATATATTCCCAGAAATGACATTGCAGGGTCAAATGGGAGGTCAATTTTTTCTAGGAATGTCCATATTGTTTTCCTAAAGTATGGACCAGTTGGCATTCTCACCAGCAATGAGTGAGAGAGTTCCTTTTCTACCAGCATTCACACCAGTGCTGGTTGTTCTTGTTCTTTTGGATATGTGCCTTTCTTTGTGGTGTGAGATGATATCTCACCAATATTTCTTATTGCTTTGTTTCTTTTAGACATAGAGCAAGAAAATAAAAGTGTGCATCTGGGGGTGGGGAATATGCCATAAATTATAAGTCTTTTAAATAACCTCACTTTCTTTGTTAGGCATCAGAGATGACAAACCTCTTTCTTTTTTATTTTTGTTTTTGTTTTTAAAACTTAAGGGCAAATTAAAAAGGATACATTTCACCTGAACTCTAGCCCTCATCTATGCTCAATAATTTTAGTTTTGAACCTTTTATCAAATGCCTGAGAAAAAAACTGTGGCATAGCAATTTAGAAAAATTCACTTATATTGTTTTTAAATTCCCTGTTTTGTGCTGAGTGACTATGCACCATTCTCAGAAAAGCAAAATTAGGAAGAATTAATTCTTTTTTTTATTTGATTTTTTTTATTAGTGAAACACCATGAAGTACAGTTGTAGACTTACAAATTTTTGTTCTTGGGTTTCAGTTATACAATGATCGAGTACCCATCCCTCCACCAGTGCCCATTCTCCACCACCAATGATCCTAGTAGCCCTCCCACCCACCCCAACCCCCCACCCCACTCTGCTTCTGTGGCAGGGCATTCCCTTTTGCTCACTCTTTCCTTCAGGGTCTTTTAGTTTGCAGTAAAGCTATTGAGTGGCCATTGTGTTAGGTCTACAGTCTACTTTCAGCACGCATCTCTCATCCTGAGCGAGTCCTCCAAACATCCTTTACTTGGTGTTCCCTTCTCTATCTGAGCTGCCTTTTCCCCCAGCATGTGCTGCTGGCTTCCAAGCCCTGGAGCAGACCTCCTGGTACTTATCTCAACTATTCTTGGGTGTTCAACTCCGATTCTGTTACTTTATCTTCCCCAGATGAGTGTAGGCTTTCTATATCTGTCCCTCTCTTTCTGGCTCATTTCACTTAGCATGATACTTTCCATATAGAACCACTTGTTTGTAGATTTCATGACTTCATCTTTTCTAACAGCTGCATAATATTCCATTGTGTAGATGTACCAAAGTTGGAAGAACTAATTCTTTTCCATCTTTTTCTTGTTTTTGTTTTTTAATGCAAGTAATCAAACCCAAGGCCTCACACATGTGAAGTGTGTGCTTTACCACCGAACCTCATTCTCAGCCCTGCATGATGTATCCTAGAATAGATATTAAGGACAAATCAGTTCCCAGAAGCTGCCCTATGTGCTCACCACAGAACTCACTGGCCTTTTAGATCTGAATTTATCTCAAATGAGTTAGTTGAATGCTTTCAACTAAGCTCTCTCAGAAGCTTGTCTCTTCTGACATGCTTTGCTTAAGATATCTGATGATTTTATTATAAAGTAACAATAAAAAGTGAGAGAAGAGACACACAAAGGCCTGCACAAGTTATACACTCACCAGCTGTATGAATCGTTGCTCCAGAACTCAGAGCTTTTGTTGAATAAGTTGTTGGATAATGGCATGTTAATGATATGCGGACTGAAGCTCTCCAGCCCTGGCTGTGAAAATCACAGAACAAGTGGTGAAGTACTGCAAAGGTGGGCACAGGAGAGCTATTCTCCAAGAAACCATCTGAAGTGGGAGTAAATCTACTGAAGCTGCTATCTCAGAGGAGGCAGAACTGGAAAATAGATCCATTTCACCAATGTCTCGGTCACCAAACATAATCCACTGTCCTCTGAACATGTAGGCAAATGTGAAGTTTCTGGAACTGATTGGCTGAGGGTAGACTAGTCATCTCTGGGGATGGTTAGCCATTGTGGTTAGTCCTGTCTGGTTAATGGACATTATATCTGTGTCACTTTGATCAGTCAAGGGGAGGATGTTTGAACTAAAAAGTTGAATTTCTGGAAAGGAGGTTAAGCCTGTGGAGACCAGGGCCTACCTGTAGAGGAAGCTCTTGATGGCAGTTCACTATGTTCACATATGTAAAATAAAATGGAAAGTAGAAAAGAAAATTTATATGTAGAATCATCTTTCTGTATCAGTTTTCTTCTGTTTTGTTTTTCTTGTTGTTGTTTATGGGTCACGTTGACAGTGCTCTACGGTTACTCCTGGTGTGGTGCTCAGAATCACTCCTGGAAGTTTTTAAATTTTTTTGGTTTTGTTTGGATCACACCTGGCAATGCACAAGGACTACTCCTGGCTTTGCACTCAGGAATTAATCCTGGCAGTGTTCCAGGGACCATATGGGATGCTGGGAATCAAACTTGGGTCGGCTGTGTGCAAGGCAAACACCCTACCCGCTGTACTATGACCCCAGCCCCACTCCTGGAAATATTGGGAGACAGTATAGAGCTGGGAATTGAATCCAGGGTTCTTGCATGCAAAGACATATGTTTCAGTCTTTTGAGTCACGTCTTCATGTGATGAGCCAGAGGTCTCCATCTTGGCTTTGTGAACCTGGACATTCCTCACAAGCACATGGCATCCCACACGCATCCTTGGATGATGCAACCTGGCTAGCCCCTCTGTAAATCTTCACTCCTTATACAGTTATCTTGACTGTCCGTCCACTGCCCATTAGCCACGATCAGTCTATTCTGTTTCGCACGTGTGCCACCTTAAGGTATATAAGTGCCTTGCAGACAATAAAGCTCATCGCATGTTCCCCATCCAAGACGTGCATCCATTCCTTCTCATTCAGGAGCTCCCTCGCCCAGGATATCTCTCATAGTTGGAGTTCTGCAAGTCGGGATCCCGCAGCACCCCAAGCACCCCATGTCTCCCCACATCTTCAGCTCATGTACCTATTTTTAAATGTATCCTTTAAATACCATCAAGAATTAGTAAAGAGAGGGTAGGTAGCCCTGGGCTCAACCTAGTGATTGTTGATGATGATGATAAAAAAAAGGCCCTCCCGTTGATCATCGATTTGCTCGAGCGGGCCCAGTAACGTCTCCATTGGAGACTTTGTTGTTACTGTGTTCGGCATATCGAATACGTCAGGGGAGCTTGCCAGGCTCTGCCCTGCGGGCGAGAGACTCTCGGTAGCTTGCCGGGCTCTCCGAGAGGGGCGGAGGAATCGAACTCGGGTCGGCCATGTTGGCTGCGTGCAAGGCAAACGCTCTACCGCTGTGACCACCATTTCATTCAGTCCAATAATTTGGGATATGTGGAACTAAAAGAGAACACAAGTTACCTAGTTTCTGGAATTATTGCCAGCACACTTAGGAACCAGGTGGCAAAAACTGACTAGATCACCAGGTGATGTTGAAGCAATACGACAATGGCAGAGATTTGGATTCTACATATTATTACCTGAAAATCTTATCAAATTAGCAGGGCATTATGACCCCAATTATAATTTATTTTGTATTATGCAAACCTTTTTAGTAAGATTTTTTATTCTAATTATTGAATTTGATAGTTTAACCAATTATAATTTAGATCATACGTTTTGAAACTGAATAAGATGATGAATTACATACCAACTCACAAAATTGCATTATGAATTCAGATAAAGTGAAATTTAAACATCATGTTGACTATACAAATTGCTAAATATTGGTGACGTCTAAAGGTTTACATCCAGTTATTTCCACCACCACTTTGCATTGCATTCTGGGATGTACACATTGAATTGCTGAAGTTCATGTCCTGATTGGTGCAGAATTAAAATCAATAAGTATTTATGAACTAAGAAATTGGTAATGTAAAATTTTCAGATTGGTGGGTTTAAAAAGTTCCCATAAATCTAAATCCAGAGTCACTGACAATATTTAAGGCATTAGGTAAATCAAAAAACTGGGAGGTTTTTGTGATTACTTCAGTGGCATTTTGGCAAATATGTGAGAAAGCCGCGTTGAAATCCAAATGCTAAGCATGATGAATGAACTGTCTGGAGGCAGATAGAATCTTTGGACTCTCAGTGAGCTAATTTACTAGAGAGCGATCACCCAAACGGAGACTCCAAGTGATAAACAGCTCTGAAAGGTGGAATCATATTAGTTTTATTAGTTTCTTAAAATAAAACTTGCCTCTTGGTGAATTTTATCTAGATTTCAGGGTAGTATCTTCCTTTTTCTCACCCCAGCAGGGTCTCTAGGTGTGTCAATCCACAATTTACACAACCGTCAGCAATGATGTTTTATAATATCCAAAATCTCTCTGGATAAACACTTGTATTTTTATTCAAATCTCTGTGGCGATAGACTGATGATCTGAGTCCTCCCAGGTTCATTCATATATTGAAGCTTGAATCATGAATTTAATGGGACAGTGTTAGGAGTGGGGTCATTGGGATGAATTAGTCCTATGCATGGAGCCTTTGTGAATTAGATTAATGTCTTCCTAAGAACAAATAAGAGGTAAATGATTTTTCTGCCATGTGAAGATAATAGTATCACGGTAGCACTGTAGTGCTGTCCTCCCTTTGTTCATCAATCTGTTCGAGCGGGCATCAGTAATGTCTCACAACAAATTGTGAGACTACTTGTTACTGCTTTTGGCATATCGAATATGTCGCGGGAAGCTTGCCAGGCTTTGCTGTGCAGGCGAGATACTCTTGGTAGCATGCCGGGCTCTAAGAAAGTAAAATTCTGGAAGCCAGAATGATGGTCTTCACCAGGAACTGAATCCACCAGCAGTCTCTTGGGTTTTCAGACTGTGATTAACTAAATGTTTGTTTTTTAAGCAGCTCAGTTTCTGAAATTTTGTTTGCACACCTTAGATAACTAAAATGTCCATGCAAAAATCTAGAATGAGTAAATTGTAGGACTTCAAGTGTTACGAATGACTTGGTTTACTTCATTGTGCCGTGGGGAAACACAGTTGAATCTGTTCCTAGCGTGCCATCAGAGTACTCCTCCAGATGGCAAGTGTCAGGTAAGAAGCACAATGACTGATGTCTTCATTCTGCTTGTGGGCCAGCATCTCATTACCTGTACATTCTCACTGTATAGATTTTTGTCAGATTAAACTAGTTTTCTGTGTTATGTCACTGACCAATAAAAATGAGTTTCTAGGGGATGGAGAGAGGAGCAGTCAGGGCTACATACCAGTACCCAAATTTGGTACCCAAATTTGAACTTAAAACTAAGGTCCCTTGAGTTCAGCCAGGTGTAACCATGGAGGACCCTAGTACCATTGGGCTGAACAGCAGATTGTGGCCCCTGAACTTCCTGAGCACTGTGTGGGGAACACCCCCCCAAATCAAATGAATTTCTATTTTCATTTGACATTAACAGAAACATCACTAATTATTAGCATTTATAACAAACCAAGCCAAGTTGTTTCACTGATAGAATAGCTGTCTATTAAATTGTAGGGTTGCTCGTTAAAAATACAGGATTTCACTGGACCATACTTGTACTAAAAATTATTTTTTGTTTATCTAAAATTCACATTTAACCGGGGCTCTTCTGGTTTCCTTCTGCAAATCTAAGTGATTCTTCATGAGTTCTGGGATGGTTTCAGGGTGGGATTGACCATCCCACCAAAACAGGATTAGAGACCTGAGAATTCCAGTTCTTGCTCCCATTCTCTAAGAAAAAAAAAATAAAAGAGAGAGACTGAAGATTGACTTAATAATCCATCAAGCCTATGAAGCCTGCAGGAAAATTCGTAGGCTGGGGCTGGGAAACACACACACACACACACACACACACACACACACACACACACATACACACACACATTTTCTCTCTGTCTCTACCTCCCTCTCTCTCACACACACACATATTCTATCCCTCCCTCTCTCTCTCCCTCCCCCCTCCCCCCCCCTCTCTCTCTCACACACACACACACGCACGCACACACACACTATGAGAGAGGTACATGCCGAATCCCCAAGGACAGAAACTCTTGCATTTGGAACCTCTCCAGACCTCTCATCTTATGCATCTTTTTACCTTTATTTGTAGCATTATTACACTCTTTATACTACATTTGTAAATGAAAGTGCTTCCTGAGCACTATAAGCATGTATAGCAAATTATGAAAAATTTTTTATATTCCATATGGACTATGGGAACCTTTAGTTTATTTTTCATTAGAAATGTCTTTCAGTAAAATCACTCGTATTTAAGCATGTTTTGGCACACTTATCTAGAGCCATTATGACTGTGGTGAGACTAACACACCAACTCTTAACATTGTTACTAGTTAGGTTTTGTGACGAAAGCACCTGAAATTGATTCAGCAAATTTTCAGTATTACAATATTTTGAGCCATCGCCGTCATGCTATCCATTAGATATTGAGACTTACTCATCCTACATAACTGCAACTTTTATTTTCCCTATCCTCCGTCCCTAGTGCCTATTTTTTGCTTCTACGTATTTTTTGCTTCTACGTATGTTGACATTTTTAGATTTCACATTTAAGAAATATCATGAAACTTTTGCTTTCCATATCTGTCTTATTACAGCTAGCATTTTGCTTTGTTTGTTTTATTGATAATAATCAACTGGTGACATCTCATTGTGTTTTTGGTATTTTGTATTTTGTATTTCCTTGGTGAGATCTCAGCCCCGGGTCCTGCACACCTGGGTTCCTCTTCTGGTTCCTCGTCCAAGCATGTGGAGAGTGGTCTCAGCATGGCTTTGGCTGGGTCCCGGAGGCCTTCAGCTGTTGGGGCTCTGCTCGGGGCAGAGAGGGAAACGCAACCCACCCTCCTCCAAGGGGCCCAGGTGAGGACCAGGCCTATAGGCGGGTATGATACTCTCAGTAGCCTGCTGGGTTCTTTGAGAGTGAGAACCAGAGAATAAGAGGTCATCTTCTTACTTCTGGGAGAGCCCAGCAAGCTACCGAGAGTATCCCACCCGCACGGCAGAGCCTGACAAGCTACCCATGGCGTACTCGATATGTCAAAAACAGTAACAGTGAATGGTCCTCATTCCCCTGACCTTGAAGGAGCCCCCAATAGGTCATCGGGCTACA